GTGCATGCGATAGCTGCGTCAAAAGCTCCTTCTGCTGGGTGTTCAGAATACTTCATGATGAGATTTCAGAACAAAGCCTTTTGATAGTACGGCACAAATTTCAATTGCTATTTTTGACATATTTCAAGAAATATATGGTTGAAATCATTTAGATCCCTTTATTAGAGTAACATCAGGGAGAGATTTGATCTGTTAAGTCTATAGCCAGTAACTTTTACATGCATAAAACAAGGCTTCCGGTATAATGCAATAAATGCAAATGTTACATTCTAGAACAGTGGTTTTCAACCTTTTTTCATTTGCAGACCCCTAAAAATTTTTGAATGAGGTGCGAACCCCTTTGAAAATCTTAGACATAGTCTGCAAACACCTAATGGCCCATGAACCACAGGTTGAAAATCACCATTCTAGAACTATGATCACACAAATTATTAAATAATAATACTTGGCACTTACATAGTACTTTTTGTCATAGATGTACACAATGCAGTACAACAATATAGTTGTAACAAAACAAATCAGGCAGCAGGTATGGTACACAGTACTATATAGTAGTGTTTCTCAAGGGGGGAGTCAGAACCCCTAAATGCAGTCATAAAGGTCATGAGTTGTTGAAAAGTGTATTATAATCTTAAGCAAAGCAAATCTCTCTCCCCCACTCCCCACACACCCTTACCCTTCAAGGTAAGTATTCTCTATCAAACTCTATGCGCGTGCAAGCGCACACACACAAATGAGATAGGCTTAACATTGTCCTCACTGATACTTTTTTTTTTTTTTTTACTCTTTTATGGTAAATGTATAAAAGAATCATGAAAATGTTTGACTTTGAATAAAGGGTGTCCAACCTGAAAAGGATGAGCAATTCTACCATGTGGTAATGAACAGCCAGAAGGGTTAAATGGTCATTATAGACCAAACACTTCCCGGTGGGTTTTTTAGTAGGGTTTTATTTATTTACTGAATGAGATGCTTGGCTTAAATTAGTTGGGAACCTGTTGCTAAACACAGGGGGTGTCTTCATGAAAGGAGACAGGTACTCTGGACTGACAAAATAGACAAATGGAGAGACTATGGACCGAGCGTAGTTAAGTCCTTAAATGGTGTATTTAAGGGTGATTGAGAAAGTAAGAGCTCTAGGAGATCACTTCATCCATCACCAGAAAACAGTAGCTGTTTAACACCACACAGCAACATTACTCAATGTTTCAGAAGAGAAAAAAAAGCCTTTCCTACTCAACTGAAATTGCAGGGAAAACGTAGGCAGGCAGATTGTAATGATCTGCATTGAAATGTAGTGAGGATATTAAGATTAACACGTCTACTGTTATTAAAGATCCCATAGAACTTTTTATATCCACATAAATCTAATCTGAAAAATAGCACTTGCAGAAGTGCAATGCTTCTCACTGCCATTCAGCTATTGCCTTAAAGGGAATAATGCCACCTACTGAATGACCAACGTGTATTAAATCTGACAGCCTTTGAAGTGGCCTGGGAAAAAACAGTTTACCAGAATTACAGCTACCTGAAAGACAAGGATTTGTATGGATTACGAGAGCATTTCCCCACTGGCCTTATTTTTTTCACCATCAAACATCTCACAGATGGTTTGGAGTTGGTTGGAGTTGGTATACAGTTTATCCTTCTTAACAATTTGCAGTTGGAGCTTCTGTCTATTTTTTTGATGGCTCAAAGGAAAATCACAAATAAAATGCAATACTACAGTAATTTCCAGGGAAAAAAATATTAAAATGGAGTTAAGATCAATATATCAATAATTTAGGATAAAAACATTACAGAGATGTCATTTTCCCAGGCAACTGTGAGCCGAGATTAAATTTAAAAGAAATCCAAGTGTGTTTATGGAAATGCACATTAAATAACCCAAGCATGCTTAATTCTGCCCTGTAATAATACCATGCAATGATCATATGGTTGTGTTTGAGGTCCAGGATTAAATGACACTGTTTTTTTGTTTCTTTTTGTTTTTTTAAAGACACTGTGATGGAGGATCTGAGGACAAGCCCCTAATTCATATTTCTTTTCAAAAGAAAAATTGTTTAGGATTCTTAACACAAGCCTAACTGAAACTAAGAGTAGTTATCAATGGTTTACTGTTGAACTTGGAGGACATATCCAATGGGCTCCACAGGGGTCAATTCTGGGTCCAGTACTATTCAATATTTTCATTAATGACGTGGATAATGCAGTGGAGAGTATGCTTATGAAATCTGCAGATGATGCCAAGCTGGGAGGGGTTGTAAGCACTTTGGAGGACAGGATTAGAATTAAAACCTTGACAAATTGGAGAATTGATCTGAAATAAACAAGATGAAATTCAGTAAAGCCAAGTGCAAAGTACTTCACCTAGGAAGAAAAAAATCAAATGAGCAGCTGCAAAATGGGGAATACATGGCTAGGCAGTAATACTGCTGAAAAGGATCTGGGGCAGGGGTAATCAATTAGTTTTTGTCAAAGTCCAGATTTCTTGGTGAAGGCCTAGATTCCAGAGAAAATAATAAAAAACCCCAACAATAATAAGTAAATTTAAAAGATTTTTGGGGTCCGTTCAAAAGGGTCTGGCAGTCCAGATTGGGCCCGCGGTCCACCTATTGACTACTCCTCATCTGGGGGTTATAGTGGATTACAAATTGAACATGAGTCAACAGTGTGATGCAGTTGTGAAAAAGACTCATATAATTTTGGGGTATTTTAACCAGGGTGTCAGGGTGTTAGACCAGGGAGGTAATTATCTTGCTCTACACTGCACTGGTGAGGCTTCAGCTGGAGTACTGTGTACAGTTCTGGGCATGACAGTTTAAGAAAGATGTGGACAAATTGGAGAGAGTCCGGAGGAGAGCAACAAAAATGATAAGAGGTTTAGAAAACCTGACCTCTGAGGAAAAGTTAAAAAACCTGGGCATATTTAGTCTTGAGAAAAGAAGACTGAGAGGGGGAGCTAATAATCTTCAAATATGTTAATGGCTGTTACAAAGAGTACTCTGTGTCTACTGAAGGCAGGACAAGATGAAATCTGCTTAATCTGTAGTAAGAGAGATTTAGGTTAGAGATATTAGAAAAAGCTTTCTAACTATAAGCATAGTTAAGCTCTAGAATGGTCTTCCAATGGTGTTTGTGGAATCCCTGTCATTGGAGGTTTTTAAGAACAGGTTAGACAAACACCTGTCAGGGATGGTTTATGTATACCTGGTCCCGCCTCATTTCAGGGGGCTGGACTAGATGACCTCTTGAGGTCTCTTCCAGCCCTCCATTTCTATGATTGTATGATAATCATAAAACTGAAAAGAATTCAGAGCCATTGGTGCAAACGCAGTGAACCTAAGGTGACTAGACTAAGGTGATACTAGCAATAAATGAGTGAAGTCTATGATTATTAATAACCTTATTCGTTTGTATTGCAGTAACACTAAAAAACTCCGATCAGGGTTCTGTTGTGCAAGGGAGTGTACAAATATCACAGTCACTTTGAGCAGTTTGTAGCAGAGAACACTTTATTTGGGTACAAGTGAGGTAACAGAGAGAGATTTTCCAACCGTTTTCTTCCTGTCAAGGCCTAAATAACACCAACTACATTCGCCTCATTTTGCTCATCCGACACGGGTGCATAACTTTTCAAGAACATTGCCTGCATACTTGACAGTTCAAAAAGCATTCTTTAAAATGAAGAGCTCATTATAAGTCCTATAGCACAAGTAGTTTATTTGAGACTGTTTGAAAGGAGCAATGGTAAGGTTATCATTAATTTTTATTTCTGTTACTAGTCCTGTCAGGATTCATTATATTCCTTTTTTATTTCTCTGCCTCCTGATGTCACTTTTCTCTTCTATTTCTCTCTTCACAAGAGGGGAAAAAGGATTATTTGTGAAATGCTTTTTTCCTACAGACTACACCTGAATTAATGATTCAGGCAATTAAAATGCCTAGAAATGAACCTCTCTCAGCTTCCTTAGTGAAGGTCAGCCAGTAACAGATGTGAGTGGTAGAGAGGAAATTGCTAATGAACACAGGAAAGTGCATATCATTAGAGCCCTAATTAAGAAAATGTAAAACAGATTCCTAATTGACTACTGAGATACAAAGTCTGTTCTTGAAAAAGTACATCTCCTATGAAACAAATTAATAGGTAGCCACCTTTTCCTTCCAATGCTGTAAGATGGGCCATCATCCAATTATTTACCAATCAATAATCACAAAGGCAGCTTTGACCTGTTTGTGGTGATAAAGCATTGCAAACAGCTACCCTCTAACCAGCTGTACAACCACTAACCACTTTATTTTCAGTAATGTTGCCTTGAGATAAGAGGTATGCACCCAGACATGTAGTGTGATAGGCTGTTCCTTAACCCAAGTGTCTCCTATACCAACACTTAATCCTCAGCTACAACTACAAATGAAACAAACAAGAAAATGTAATGCGCCTTCCTCCAATTTAATACCTTCTCCCTTTCTTCTTGTGTTATGTTGCTTAAAAGCTCCTTACATGTTGTTCCTTATGCCTGGAACAGCCTGTCAGCATTCATCCACCAAGCCCCCGGCTCCTCCTTACAATCCACTTTTTCTAAGAATCTCTCCTTTCTCCTTGTCATTAGTAACTGCACACTCTCCATTCCCTGAGCTGTTGTCTTGTGTCTCATCTTCTGCTTGTTAATCACATTTCACTTAGACTGTAAAATCTGTGGAAGAGAGAGAGAGCATCTCTCTTTCATTGGACCTTACTCTGATCCCATTGAAATCAATGGGAATTTTGTCACTGACTTAGTTGAAGCAGGATTTAGGCCTGTAGGTGTGAGACGTTGTGTAATCCTACCACACTAGATAAATGATTGTTATTGTTAATAACATTACAGCATACATTCTAGCATGCACACAGAGGCAATGCTCTAATATATGTGCCAGGATGAAAAAGAGGGAGCTGTATAACTTTTAAAAGGGAAAATTGTTATAACAATCTGTCTCTTTTGGTGTTTTCTGCTTAGATGTTGACCCCAGTGCAGATCAGATCAATTTGCCAGGCTATATTAGAATCTGGGAAGCAGTATGCTGTGAAGAAGAGGAAACCATGCCCACTCATGTACTCTTATTATGGAACAGAATACCTTGGTGAGTAGAACATACCAACCACTTAGAAACCAAGGCATTGCTTTGACACCAAGATAATAGATCACTTAGAAACAAGACATTGGCAGGCAAACAATGTGTATAGTCTGCTTTTCCTAACAAACAAATGGTCATACAGGTAAATGGACAGATATTGTTTGTGAGCCACCTAAAATGAATGCAATGATTAGTGCTAGTTATACACTGCATATTCCCACTAGGCTCCAATATTTCCCTTCTGCAGAAAAACTTGTAATAAGGGAAAAATCCATAAACTTTGTGAGACTCCTCAGTGGGTTGGGGCCTTTGCCTCTTTGAAGTGAGGAGTTTGCAGTTGTTATGTATTTGTGAAATGCAGTAGAGAAATCTTTTATCTGCGCTTTAATTTTCATTATTCTCAAATGTTGCCACTCTATAGTGAGAATGAGTGAATTCATACTGAGTTTTTCTTTAAATGTAGGAATCTGAAAGATGTAAGTGGTAACAAATCTTTGAGTTGCATGTATAAGACCTTTACTCAACACAATATTATAACTGTCAAAACAAGACAGAACACCCATCTGCACCACACAGAAATTATTTCCAGTAGAAAGAGGCAGTGTGATGGATCTGTGATCAAAAATAATTCTTCTTTTAACCATTTCTATTCTTTACAGGTGCAGCCCATGGCCTTTCATCCATCCTTCAGATGCTGCTGTCCTATTACGAGTACCTTCAGCCTGCAGATCAGGAGCTTGTATGGCAGAGCATTGACTTTCTTATGGACCAAGAACAGAACAGCAACTGGCCTCCTGAACTGGGAGAGACAATTGAGCGGGAGAATGAGCTTGTGCACTGGTGTCATGGAGCTCCAGGTCCTTTTCAAATTGATGCTGTCAAGTAGCCAGATGTTACCAATTACATGCTTTTCACACTAAATGATTCCATTGAGAAAATAACGTCAGGTCAAATTTTACTGATTTTACCATTTATGTCAAGCAGGAAAATTGTTCATGCTTTTTTCAGTTAAGCTTTTTTGTTTATTACTGAAGTAGGTGGAAGATCAGGCAATGAAGGAAGTTCCCAAAACTCTTTGAGGTACTTTCAAATATGTTGTTACAAAAGCCATTAAAATCCAATAGTACAATATGTCACCTGATGACCTAGCTGTAGTGCCCTGTACTCTGATACAAGGAGCCCAAGTATGATCTCTCTATTCCAAGCCCTTGCTCTCATGCATAGCAGGGACTTCAGTGCATGATATATACGAGTTACAAGGCAAGTCCTGGTTGGCTGGAGGATGAAGGTAGCCTTAGTGTACTGAAAGGGGCACAGCCAATACCAGACTTTAGTATTTATGGGTGGGCCTGGAAAAGTTTTTTGCCTCTTCCCCTCAAACATAGCCTATTTCTGTTTATTGCTATTGTACACTTATGCACAGATCTGACCTAAGGATTTTTTTATGGGAAGGGAAGTAGCAAATATGTCCAGTGGCTGGAGATGGAACACCTACATGGGGAGGGCTCTGAGTTGCTCTAGAGAATTCTTTCCCAGGTATCTGCCTGGTGGGTCTTGCCCACATGCTCAGGATCTAACTGATCACTGTATTTGGGGTTGGGAAAGAATTGGCAGAGACCTGGCCGGGGGGTGTGGGGGGTGTTCACCTTCCTCTGCAGCATGGGGCACGGGTCACTTGCAGCTTTACACTAGTGTAAATGGTGGATTCTCTGTAACTTGAAGTCTTTGAACCATGATTTTAGGACTTCAGTAACTCAGCCAGAGGTTAGGGGTCTATTACAGGAGTAGGTGGGTGAGATTCTGTGGCCTGCAATGTGCAGGAAGTCAGACTAGATGATCATGATGGTCCCTTCTGGCCTTAAAGTCTATGATCTAGGAGTATGCACTAGCAAAATGTTAATTGTGGAATTTCCCCAAATTTAAGAGCTCTGGGGAGGAGGGGAAGCTTCTGTCTGAGTTCCATGCTGACTCCAGTTGAGGCTCTCACTCTTGCTTTAGCAGTGTTTGCTTGTGCTGTTATATATTGAAATTACTTCCCACCAGGACATAGTGGCTAACTGTTCTTACTGGCTTTGTAACCTAAACCTAGGAGATAGCAGCAAAAATTGACACAGTGCTCCAGTACCATTCATTTTGTTAAACAAAGTTCAGGAGCAGAGATCCATGTATTTTAAATATCTTTTTTTCAAAATTGCAAATAGTGCAACATGATTAGAGCCCTTAACTGTGCATTCTGCGGAAGCTTTATCTTTTTCCTGACGTGTAGGGAGTGAAGGTCCCTCTTTCCTGATCCTTCCCTGTGGGTGAAGGGAAGTGAAACCAGCTTTGTTCAGTTAATTTCTCTCTTGGAAAGAAAGAAATTTAGACTCCAATGGGAGTTTGGCCCACTGTGTGTGTGCTGGTGATATCTGTGTGGCAGAGGCCCCTTTGGTAGGCTCACCTGCCCTCTGCCCACATCTCCCGGCCAGTATTTCTAACACTACAAACCATGAAGAAATTTCAAACGGCCACAATCTCTCATTACGGAACAGCCGACTGGATGAAAGTTTCTTGCTTCCTCCTCAAAGGCGAATATTTCCCCACAAAATTATACGAGTTTGTGGTGCAGGATGGGCAGTATTTAGTCCTGTCCCAGGGATTGATTGATAGTCTGCTACCTCACAACACAGCAGGGCTAGAGCTGGATGATTTATACCATTAGAAAACAGGGGCTTTCCAGTGGGATACAGCACTTACTCTTAGCCCTCGGAGCACCAAGATATCAAGTGGTTAAAATTGGGATGTTTAATGGAAAGTTATTTGAGGTAATTTTTAGAGCCTTCTAAATATTCTGATTTTCATTTCCCTGCGAGTCCTCTATGTTGTGCGCTTCATCAATCATGAGTAATGCAGCCATTACTCAATACCACACCACTATATAGTTTGTATATGTCACTGAGAGCTATTTTTAAGTTTTTTTGAGAACTTGAATTTTTTTTTAAAATTCAGGCTGTATTTGTATCTCTTCTCATGTAGCATCTGTCTTTTAGTTACTGTGACTCCAACTGCACAGTGATCACATGGAGATTATAACTAATAAAACTGAACCCCCTCTAAAAATTACTTAAAATGGCTTTTTCATACATAAAAGGGACATTACTGACAGCCAGCATCTCAGGATCTGCCAGGGCTAGAATAAAGTGCAATGTGTCCCATTGGAAAGGGGGTTCGTTCTCATTTCTAGCTCTGTAGAATTGAGAACTACTGGGTCTTAAACCGGTCATTGTTGCAAGACTGATTATTGCCCATCCTTGATCTTGGGTCAATGTGATTTGGTGGGGGAACTCCACATCTTTGGGAGAGAAGAAAATGTCTTGTCTTGTGGCTGGCTGATTTAAACACAAAAATGTGGCTGCTGTTTTAAGCTGCTCAGGGGTTTGGAATGTTAGTCCTGGAATGAGATCAGCTAGTGGGGTGACTGCATGTGAGACTTTTAAAGGTGCATGATAAATGCAACTTATCACATCACTCTGCTACCACCCTCACATATGTGGTGTGTACACTCAGGTGAATATATATCATAGATGAGAATATCCATATTATTATGTATTGATCATATAACATTATACCAGCTGGACTGTACTTATAAAAACAAAACTGATTTCTCTGCTGTTTCCCTAGGTATTGCATACCTGTTTGCTAAAGCTTATCTGATTTCCAAGAAGCCCCAGTATCTAGACACTTGTATCCGCTGTGGGGAACTGACATGGCAGAAGGGCCTGCTGAAGAAGGGACCTGGAATTTGCCATGGAGTGGCTGGTAGTGCCTATGTGTTCCTACTCCTATATAGGCTTACTGGGAACTCTAAATACATCTACAGAGCACAAAGGTTAGTATTCTCACCATTCAGCAACACCTCACTTTGGCTTTGGAGTTTATTATTATTATTGAGTTTGGTGAAATACAAAGAACACTCTCAGAACCTTGCATAGTCTATGGCCACAATTCCTTCAAGTAGCTTAAATCTTTAAACATCCAAAACAGAACTAAAAATGCCCAGAGCCAGCAGAACACAAAACAATTTAAACAGGGACATTCTGTCTCTAGAGCCGAACATGCTAACAGATTTTACATTCTAACAACCTATTTCTTCCTCAGACTAGTCCAAACTCTTTTTAGGGTCTGCATCCAAATAGGGCCATGAGCAATTGATTACATTAACTGATGAGGTGCTTGTAGTGGGACTCCGCAACCCTTTACTGGGATTAAACTCAAAAGGGTCCATGCTACTTATTGACTTTTTGTACCTCCCCCTATGGTTACCATGGGGGGTGAGGGCTAGAGGAATGGCTCTAGATGGCACTGAAGTTCTGAATACTCAGAGTCCCCAAATATGGTTTGGATAAACACCCGCTAAGTATGGGACTAAGATCATAACTCATCTAACATAGACTATTGAGTAGGTGTCATGTTATTGACTTTTAGCCATTACCAGCATGGGTTGGGCCTGTTCAGAAATACAGCAGTGAAGATCTCCATAGCCTATGAACAAATACCTGAGAATTCTAGCTCTTGCTACACAGCTGAGTGAAATGAACTGCTGGTTTCATTATATTGATTCTCTCTGGTTTTCACAACATGTGACACTGTCTGTCAGTACATAGAAGTGCAACTAAGCCAGGATCTTGCTTCTCCACGTCTTTTACACATACACAGGCCTCATTCTGCTCTCAGTTTTACATCAGTGTAACTCCATCAACTTCCTATTTATACTGGTTTAAAAGGGATGAGGTCTATGTAGAATTATAGCAGGGAGCAGTTATTTTTAGTTCAGATTTTTTTCTGACATATTGTAGCTCTTTTAAATGATGATGTTTGTTTCCGTTTTCCTTAGCAAGCAGGAAATGGTTCCGGAATCACAATGACTTATTTTCAATGCTGCTCATTTTATAGTATTTTGAGAGTATTTCACCTGCTTAATCATGTCTGTAATACAGGGCTTTTCACATCCATCCAGAAAGCACTGCTGTTCTGTGTCCTGCTGGGTCCTGATGAAACAAAGACCAATATAAAAACACTTTTTAAAAAAACCCTTCCATTTATACACTTATAAATGTTATACAGAGACACAAAAAAGCTTGTAGATCTCAGATGGGCACCAAGCATGTCAAATATATAAATACAGATTGGAACATTTCTGTTCTTGATCAAATGGACCTCAGTTTAGTGAGGGGAAAAAGGTGTAAACAGATTTGCAGATAATGTCAGATAACTAGCAGACGTGAAACTACACCTCTACCCTGATATAACGCTGTCCTCGGGAGCCAAAAAATCTTACCGCGTTATAGGTGAAACCGCGTTATATCAAACTTGCTTTGATCCGCCGGAGTGCACAGCCCCGCTCCACCCGGAGCACTGCTTTACCGTAATATCCAAATTTGTGTTATATCGGGTTGCGTTATATTGGGGTAGAGGTGTATTAATATTCTTCCTATTGAATGTGTTGACGTGAAGCCTTCTAATGACAAATGAACAGATACACAAGAATGGCACCAAAGCCAGTTGCATAAAGAGAGAGGTAATAAAGACTTCTTTTTTTGTCTTTACTGTTTCTTAGGTTTGCAGAGTTCTTATTTACAGAAGAATTTAAGGCTGGTTCCCGGGCATTAGAAAACATATATAGTCTGTATGAAGGCTTCTCGGGGACTGTGTGTTTCCTGATTGACTTGCTGCAGCCCAACCAGGCCGAGTTCCCTCTCTTCAGTGTCTTTGTCTAGAGAAGGGTGTTCTCCAGTGCCACATTGGAACAGCCATGCACAGGGCACCTGCAGTTTCACTTATCTGTAAAGGGAGGCTATTTACAAAATAAGCCACATTCAGTGGTACCACTAATGCTAGCCTTAATTTTGCTGGGGGGGTCAGGAAAAAGCCTAAATATACTGGGGTTTGGGGAGGGAAGTATGTGGTTTTTAAAAAATTAACAGTTTAAAAATAAAAGGGGAGAATGAAGTGGTTTTTCAAAATTGAAGTAAAGTCTTCTGATTATTCAAATAAGAGTGAAAGAGGCATTAACAATCTTTAACGTGATGGTTATACAGAAAAACAAAATGGAAATCTGAACACTAGGGACATGCAAGGGAAATAAAATGATTAATCCAATGGGTTTTAAAAGAGACCCATAAAATAGGACATTATACATCTATGCTCTTGTAGGTGACACAGACAGGTCACTAAAGTATGAAAAGGCAAAATCTGAGATTTCTTAATTAAACATTTCCTAGTACTAGTACCACCTTCCCTAGAAGTACCTATATCTTGGGATCTTTTCATTGCCATATGCATATAATAGCAGTTATACAGCTACATTCTGTCTTTAATTGCACATGTACCATATTACTGTTGCAGTCAGTGGGGTTTCATGTATGTATTCATAAATTTGACCATGAGTTTCAAAACTCTGTGTGTGCTAAGAAACACTAATCCCTGTCACCACCTTATGGTAGTAGTAGTAGTACTCCATCTTTTTATCAATATCTCTTCTTTCATGAAGAAGATCAACAGAAGCCATGTAGAAGACTTGGATCACTAAATTCTGTAGCAAAGGTCTTACAGAGACAAGGTGGGTGAGGTAATGTTTTTATTAGACCAACTTCAAGTCAGACTTGAAGAAGAGCTCTGTGTAAGCTCAAAAACTTGTGTCTCTCACCAACAGAACTTGGTCCAATAAAAGATATTATCTCATCCACCTCATCTCTCTAATATCCTGGGGCCAACATGGCTACAACAACCTGCAAATAGAAAGGGTATAGAAGTCAAGTGCTAGTCTCACAGTATCAGATACTAGGTAATATTTCTTATTGCCAGTCATCGAAAAAACTGCCTTTAATCCATTATTTGAACTGTAGCATATATGGAGATTGACAAAGTGATTGACAAAATAATTTCCTGATGAATTGGGGTGATACACTTTAGAGATACAAATTGTATGCAGACCTTTGATGGAACCCCAAATACTGGGCTTAGGAGAAGGCTGATAAAAAGTTTAAAACTAAAGCCACTTATTTCTCTGGTTAACACAGTAATGTTGCTAATGTACCACACAAGGTATTGTATATGCCCAAATGATTTGTGGCTATTGAGATCTATGGTCAGTCCAGTAACACTGCACTAGCATGGATAGGTAGAAATTGTATTTTATTTAGAGAGAGAGAGACTATTTGAGACCTAAACAAAATGCAAATGTAGATTTGTTAAAATACTGTAGCAGCAAATGCCTGTATTTACAATATATCACACCAATATATTTCTTTATACTGGAATACAGTAATATGATTGAATTTAAGGGGAGAGTGGGAAGGCTGATAGGTCAAAAATTACACCCAATGGCTTCACGTGTACAAACTGACACGTGCATAACCCTATCCCAGTACTCTGCTGATCTGCCATTCCCCTTGCATTTTTACCTGGAAAAGATTCAGCTTTTCTTAGGGGCTGATCCTTTAAGGATTCCCATTGACTTCCATGGCTTTGAATCAGGCTATAGAATGGAGTCAGACGCTGCAGCCCTTATATATGTTATTAATCCTTACTCACTCCCACAAGCCCCTTTCACATAAATTTATTTAATGGGATGACTTGGATGAGTAAGGGCTGAAGAATCAGACCCCTGTTGTATGGTGGTGTGGTGCAGTGTTAAGTAGTTATTTCACCCCAGAAGTAGCTGTATTTTGAGTAATGCATTTCAGTGGTGTATAAAGCAATCTATTTTTGTATCAGTCTGTCAAGCACTTTGGGATCCTTGGAGGAAAGGGAATGTCAGAATGTACAGTACTATCAAAATGCAAAGTGTATCATTACTTGCTTTATTGTTGTGTGCAGAGGCAGTACATCTCACATGTATGTACCTATTGTGCTGAAACCTGAAATCAGTGGGAGAACAAGGATAAGTAATATGAATGGGATTTGTCTCAGCATGTTCAGATGTGTGACCAAGATTAGAGGTCAGCCCAATATCCCAGATCTGTTGCTAGTCGATCACTCAGCTGAGAAGTTGGGATCTTTTTCTAGGTTGCACCCCGTGTTTTGGATGCCTAACAGATTTTTCAGAATTTGGACCTTTTTAAATGTGTTTAGGAAAGGTGAAATTTTTGACCTGTCAGTTTTATCCTTGTAACCTGATATTTAGGGCCCTACCAAATTCACAGTCCATTTTGGTCAATTTCATGGTCATAGGATTTAAAAAATCATAAATTTCATGATTTCAGCTATTTAAATCTGAAATTCCACTGTGTTGTAATTGTAGGGGTCCTGACCCAAAAAGGAGTTGGGGAGGTCGCAAGGTTATTGTAGGGGAGTTGTGATACTGCTACTCTTGCTTCTGTGCTGTGGTGGTGGCACTGCCTTCAGAACTGGGCAGCTGGAGAGCGGTGGTTGCCAGCCGGGAGCCCAGCTTTGACGACAAAGCCACCACCAGCACCAGTGCAGAAGTAAGGATGGCATGGTATGGTATTGCCACCCTTACTTCTATGCTGCTGTCTGCAGAGCTGGGCCGTCAATCAGCAGCCACCGCTCTCTGGACGCCCAGCTCTAAAGGCAGCGCAGAAGTAAGGGTGACAATACTGCGCCCCCCCCTAAAATAACCTTGCGACCCCCCCTGCAACTCCTTTTTGGGTCAGAACCCCCAATTTGAGAAACGCTGGTTTCCCCCCGTTAAATCTGTATAATACAGGATAAAAGTACACAAAAGACCAGATTTCAGGGGGCGAGACCAGATTTCATGTTCCGTGATGTGTTTTTCATGACCATGAATTTGGTAGGGTCCTACTGATATTATTTAATTCTAAACTTATATTGTACATAGTATTCACGCAGTTAAAATATAAAAGTAATAATATCCATGTTGCAGTATTTAGAAAGCTCCTCTAATTGCTTTTTATTCTATTGTGAAAAACAATCTTGGAAATATTTTTTTTTTCTTAAATTAAAACAGAGAATTGGATTCTGCTATCATCTGGACTCAGGGCTGTTTTAATCCTGCAGTTATTACCTTCAGCCTTATTTACAGATGCAGACTGAAAAAACAGTGTTTTTGGTATATAAAACCTAAGAACCACAATGCACCCAATTCAGTCAAAAGCAAAAAACCTAGAACTTAAAATCTATTTATATAGCAGCAGAGTAATCATCACATTTTAATTTTTTCTTCATTATCTCCGGCACCACAAAACCTAATTGTAACCAACTAGCTATGTCTCAGGAGTTTTCACTGCAGATGGAGATCTGTGTCAAAACCCCAAACAAATCTAGAAAATGGAATAATTACAAAAATTCAGATCCTAAACAAAAATTGAGATTGTTACAAGACTCTAAGTTTTCAAATAGGAACTCAGTGACAATGTTTTAAATGTTTGGAAAGAAGTAAAAATATTCCGTAAAGGCAATGAATTAGATAACTCTTATTTTGCTATTCTATTATGTTTAATTTCCAATAGGTATAGTTTTATTGATCTTTTTAACTTGTCCTTATAAATGGCAGGAATTGCAAGTGTTAAGTATTCATCGTCTGTTCTCTGATGGCTTTCTATCTCTATCCTTTTGCAGAGTTCATTCTTTCTGATTTACATTCAGTAAGGAATCTCTCTTCTAATTTGCCATATATTCTAAAAGCAACCGAAAACAAGTTTACAGGCTTTTCTTGTGACCCTTGCTCGTGAAGGTAATCTTTAGCCAGCTGGGACTAATTGTGAGCGTAGCAACTACTTGTGTAAGGGTTGCACTGTGTTTATTATCCTTTCTGCTATAAGAAAACAGATATAACCACTCTCCGTTTTCAAAAGCCTCAGGCCCATCCTGTTCTTTTGAAGTCAAAAGGAGTTTTGCCATTGACTTCAGTATGAGCAGGGTGAGAACTCCTGTTTATTTCAGCATTTGTAAAATAAAAAATATATTACAGTCTCTTGGAACTTAATTGTTTATCATTTTAATCCTGCATTACCTTTTAAGAAAACCGCCTTACACTGCTTTAACAGTGAAGTCCCCGTGTTTCTTCCCCCCCCAAAAAATAAAAAAAATTGGAAAACAATTCAATTTAATTCTTAATAAAATGCTTGTGGTGCAGTTGCATTAATTTAGACTTGGCTCTGCCTCAAGGATTGAAAAAACTCAGCACATATTTTCAAAGTTTCTTTAGTAGCAAAACAATTAATGAATTGATAGTAATGTACAGTTAGATATGTAGGGTTGGATTTCAAAACTGTATAAAGGAGTTAGACACCTCATTTCCTCTGGGAGTTGGGTGCCTAACTCACTTAGGCACTTCTGAAAATGCTAGCCATAATGTAAATCTGGAATTTCAGCTCTTTCCTCCACTTAACTCACATCCACTTGCAAATTCCCCTCATACTTACCCCTGTTGCAAACTTTATTGTAGCTTTTAAGAGGTAGACAAGAAAACAACTTGTCTGCAGATGTCAGTGTTTCTGTGAATGAGATACAACAAAGTGATAAGTTTTCCTATGTTCCATACTTACTGCCTTCAGAGACTAACTGTGTCACCCCCAGGCTGAGACAAAACGTCTAGCAGAAGTTACTTCTTCCTGCTCCAGAACCAGAATCTCACAATTTGAAACATCATAATCCTGTGCAGATTCTGCCACCATGCTGTGATAATAGTATATGTTAGGAGAACCTCTCCCACTTACCAAAAGTAGAACACGAAATGGCACAATCTCTTTTACACATTAAAGTCAAATCCCTTAATGTGTTTGGTTGCTGAAGT